TTGGCACAATGTGATAATCCATTTCGGGAAGTCCAGGTTACGCTTCCTTCGAGCAGCGGGATGATCCATAAACTGTACAGGCTCTATCAAGTGCCTCAAGCACTACCAACGGGAGTCGCGCTGTTCCCTGTTGTGGCACTGCGACTCGCCAGTGCCGTTTGCTGTTCTGGCTGTGGCTGCGTTGTCTTGGGGCGCCATTTGGCCAACACCTTGCCAGCAGCGGGACGTGATTCCTCATCTGCGTCGACACAAATTAGCTTATAAGACAAATGGGTAGCGAAGAACTCGGAACGTACAGGTCTCATGTACATGCTCCAAGGCATTGAGACATATCTCGCGGGCCGGGGGTCGAAACATGATCAGATACCTGGTGATGGTCAGCATAAAGGGTCCCCGAGTTTCCCAGCAGTTGACCTACAGTAGTGATTGAACGCATAGACTGACACGCTCGGGGTCCTTGGCAAGACTAGCGACCCGCTGTGTGATGGGTATTGTCACCTCCGGAATCTCACTCAAGAAGCGGATGAAGATCTTGGTGTCTCGTGAATCGATATATGGCAAGAACCCATCCAAGAGTCTCAAGACCCAGTGGTCATAAAACAGCGGTACAGTAGCTTCCTCGTCCTCTGGCCTCCGCTGCGAGGCAGTGAACTGCATCTGTACCCGGTCATTGTACCACTCTTCGTTCAACCACATGATGCCCACATTCACCCGGCCCCGGAAGTCCTCCAAGATGTACCTATATAGAGTCTCCCGGATTGTATTAGAGATCGTTGCCTTGCCTCGACTCGATGCGTCTTGTCCGAATTTCCCTGTCCCCGTTTCCAGGCCTGCTGGAGCTCTTGTGGCGAGTCGGGTGAGTAGAGTGACCCAAGCGTCTCGGTCGAAGGTGCTACCCGCCAATCGAGCAAATCCCGGCTGCTGCTGATTCTTTCCCTTCGCCGGATTCGAGGCGACTGCACTAGACGCTAGCATACCGAATACTCTCCCGACAGCACTGCGACCAACTTCTGCAGCCTCGACCTCTGACAGCGGAGGGGGCTGAGGTAAGACGAACGGTCCCAATGAGACAAGATCTGGCTGAATTTCTGCTACTTCGGCCGCCACAGCATCAGCCTGCTCACGCGCCGGTTCAGCAACGTCCATAGGTTGGTACTCTGGCTCGTAATCGTCGTCGTCGTCGGTAGCCGCCGCCGCCGCCGGAGCCTGCGCGGCCTGTCGCTTCTGAATTGTCTCGTAGCGCATGCGAATGGCCTATTGCTGGGTCAGTATATTGCTTCTGCGTCCTGGCGTCTTGACTTACATCGATAGACTGGGTCAACGCCGACTGATCCACTCGAGCGAGAATGGGAACGACGATGTTGACAAGAAGATCTGGAGGTAGTTGCTTGACATCAAAGCGTGCAGCTTCAGCATCCTCCGTCAGGGTAAAGAGCTGCGAGTAACTGGTTGGGCCAGGAGGAAGTGGCGGGATTTTGACCAAGGGTGGCGTCTCTGCGTCGAGTTTCGTTCGTTTCGTTTTGTCAAGCCCGTCCGTGGGTTCGGCAGGTGGTCCACGTTTTCTTGTTGCGTCGTCAACGATCTCGAGGCGTGAGTTCTTCAGCCGATCGACGTGCTGTTCCATCTTACGAAAGAATGGATGGTTGGGATTCCTAGACAGTTTTCAGCACATAGTACAGGTTGACCGTACATCCTTGTCTCACCTCTTCATTATATGTTCGAGAACGGCCCTGGCGGTTCTCTCCATCGATTTGACTCCGACCCGGATAGCCGGAGTTATGGGTGGGCGTACTTGTCTCGCAGGGAAGAAATTCATGATCGCATTGATGATTTTGTTGCCGATGGACTGTCGACTGCGGATGAGGACTGCCAGGCAGTTCAGCGTTGCGTTCACGAGGATGGGGTCGCTACGGAGACATTAGCAACATTCCCAGAAGTTCCCAGTTCTCGGTCAAGAGCAAGTACCTCGATTCTTCCTGCAGAGCAGACAGAAGTCGATCCAGAAGTCCAGAGGCTTCTGCCTCGAGGTTAGGAAGTGACAGAACGGGATGATTGCGAGGCACGATAGCCAAGGAGGTTTCGTTCTGGTCAGGCCGCTAGGCAAGAAAGGAACCATTAACTTCAGATCGCACAAAACACCTCTGATCGGATCCTGTGTACGTACTCTAGGGTCCGCAATCGGTCCATGGGTCTGCACTTGAACCACGCGTTGAACGAACTTGATGCAACAGATCTTGACCTGCGAAGGAAACGAGTCCCATCGCCGCAGGATACCTTCTTTGATTGCGGTCATATTCTCCCATATGGCTCCATCTCGCGGGTGGTTGATACTGCAGCATTGAGATGTTAGTGGTTGCGCCCAATAAGAAAGACATTTTACGCATCACGTCTGCTTCATGCGAGCGTCTACGAAGGCTTTTTTCCCCTGGGAGGGGAGGTCTCGGGGCAGTGAACAACAAGCAAACGCCGGTGACCTACATATGCCTAAACACCAACGGATACAGACTGGCAGCACTCTGCACTATATGTTTCAAGACCAAGGGATCTCCTTCCGGTAACTCCAGTATCTCGCGCTGCGCCTGTAGGACGTTGGCGGCCAGCTGCTCCTTCTGTGTCGAAGCCAGCGCCGGGCTAGAAAATGTTTCGGCCAGAAACTCCGCGCCCCATCTCCGCAGTTCTAGTCGCGCACGCGATCCGATTATAGGAAGAACGCCGTTCACGATCTGGGGGTAGAAGGCGGCATCGCCCAGAACGAGATTGCGGGCAGCATTAAGCTGCGCGATCTGATCGACGAGGTGATCGGCCGATTGAGCCATTACGACTCCGTTCAGCGGCCGGTGGTAACGGCCTGGCAGAAGACGGGCGGGCGAGGCGGGTTGGCAGATTCAATGCTGATTGTCACCGGTCAAAGCTGTCTACGCAGGGAAGTAAGGTGCCAAGGCACGGAGCTTATAACACGGCCGCGACGACTATTTGTCCCCGAGACACATACGAGGCGTAGAGAATGTCGGAGATGGTCGCTGAGAGAGACGTGTGCAAGAGATCCCGGGTCGAGTGAAGAAGATGAATTGCTGGCGAGATCAAAGGTGGATGGCGGTGGAAGGGGGAACGTGGAGAGGAGAGGAGGTTAAACGCGGAACTGAATTGATTGTATGAAGAAGCCGAGACCTAGACAAAGACAGGTAAAGTCACGCTCCTCCCAGTCACGTGCTATGCCTCCCGCTCATGGCAGCTGGCAATCATCACATCATACAATGATAACGTGCACTGTCCGCAAAATAAACATTCTGTTCTATGTCTTTCGGGGACTGTTGTGAGAATAATGCTTGAGGGTCACATATGACCTGTCAGATCATGCAGTTAGACTTGATCACGAAGGCCAGTTGAGGTACCATAAGAGGCGAGGCAGCCAATCGTACTATATATTTTCAGTACAAGATACTACATAGTACTCAGGGAAGTCATACCCAACATACGCTAATACTACATGGATATAGACGGTCAGTATGGGAACCCAAACACAGCGAGCCCTGCTCATATGATAATCAAATAAAACCAAAACCCACCGACATAATTGTCTTCTATAGTAGTGTATCTCCTCCCCGCAGCGACGGACAACTGGTCCGGCCGGCCAGGAACGCCAAGCCCGGCGGCATCCCATCCAATTTCTGGAGGAGGAATCCAGACTGTCATCCAATCTTTCGGCCTTTAACGATCGGATCGTCTCTCGTTCCTCTTTCCTTCATACCCTTACAAGCCAGATCCATCCGGTGATAACTCAAGACCGAAGCACTCTTGTCAAAATGGCCTCTGGAATGTATGTTCTCCCTCCCCCCCCCGCCGTTCCCTTTCAAATGCGACCGACAGTCATGCCACCGTCTCGCCGCCGCGAATTCACGAAACCGCTTCATGAGAGCACAATTAAAACATACTGACACCGATTTCTGCCGCTTACAGCTTCAACTCCACCTACTACGGCAAGGACTACCGCGCCGGAGCCGCCCTCCTGCGTGCCCGCCGGCCCTACCTCGTCAAGAACGCCATTACCGGCCTGTGCCTCGTCGGATTCACCATTGGTGTCTGTATGTTTGTCCACAGGTCCTCCCTTGTGTTTGCACCAGTCTCCCATCAATCCCACAGAAGCTGGAGCTAACCATCAACCTCCCAATTTCTCCAGATGCCTACACCATCCGCGCCGTCGGCCAGGATGAGTTCTCCGACGTCAAGGTCCCTGAGACCCCCGCCAAGTCTCAGCAGAAGCAATAGACGGAAGTTCATAGACATCCCTTCCTCTTCTCCTGCTTGGATGCAATCGATCGCAATCGCTTGAACTGTTGGGTGCTATCGTCGCAGAGAAGAAATAACGAGAAGCGTGGGGTCGTGGAGTTGTATGGTCATCTTCCTTTGCGCGGGGGGCTATCATCATCCGGTCCCGGGTTGGTTGTGCCTTGATGGGCTTCGCCTACTTTCAATGGACTCATAAGCATACACACCGAGGCCTGGTTGCCCGCCGGAAAATGGTGTATATCCCTCGCACTACTGGTACGACTCCACGGACAACCGCAAGCGATTGAAGCCCGGCCAGTTGTTAGATCATGTTCAAGATTATTCGGTATACCGCAGATCAAGTGACAGGCCCTCAAGTGTTACGTTCAAACAGCAGGAGTGCTTCCGCAAATCTTTCCCGCTTGTCATTGACACTCATCTCTGCTCATTTATTCCCCCTCAAAGTTTAGCTTCTGTTTTACGAGTTTTATGTGTATATTATCCAATCCTGAATCGGTGCTTCCGTCTGCGCTCTTGCTCAGCAGGTAACAATGATGTAGATTTCTTCATACAATCGAGCGGTTCCACACTATGATGAAGTGCAGCTGCACAGCTAGTTTGGCTTATGTCGCCGATCAAATACAGGTTATGATGAAACATCTAGTACACAAGGGATCACTTTCATCGTCCCGGATACTCTATCTGCTACATGAACAACAAGCAACAACCCTCCCCTACTCGGTTCTCAGAACACGAGGGCCCTTCTTCTTGGTCGTACGCTTGCGCTTGTGGCCGCGGTCAAATGCGACTGCGTTGCTGTGGTCTCGGTTCAGGTTGTCCAAATCCTTGACCTTGTAAATACGGATGATCCAGTTCTCACTGGTGAAGGCCTCCTCGAGGGTGGACAGCTGGGGTCCCTCCGCCGGGAGCTTCGCACCACGGACACGGTCCACGGCCTGACCGCCCTGGAACATGGTGTGGTAGTTGTAATAGGACATTTTGTACCTAGCTCATCGTTAGTGTTTGCTCCCAATCCCAGAGAAGGAGATCCTTACATCAAGCTGTTGCGCATGGTAGGTGTGGCTTGATCATCTACACGGTATTCACCGCGAGCAGTGAAGAAGTCACGCTCCTTGACCTCATCCGGCCAAATACCTTCGGCGATACGAACCATCCACAGGAACTTGTTGATATCGTCACCGGAGTAGCCCAGCAGTCCACCGAAAACCACTAGGACGTAGTCGACATCGTGCTGCCGAAGAATGGGGTAGCTGACCTCCTCCCGGGAGCTCATCGCCTTTCCAACGGTGGCAATGTGGGTGTTGTTCCAGGTGTTGTTGTCAACGAGAGTGGGGCGGTCAGCCATACCACCGATTTGATAGCCATAATCCCACCAGGACATGACCTTGGCATTGTGCGGAGTGTTCTGGCGGAGCCAGTAGTAGGCCTCACGGTAGTCGTCGATGATGTGCTGGCTTCCATCCGGCATCCGGCTGGCCAGAACCACGGATGGGGAAGAATAGGCGTTCGAAGTGACCCAGGTGCAGTGCGCAACGAACAAGAGAAGATAGATGATCGCGGACGATGTCACCACCAGCTTCGAGAGGTAGGATGTGACTCCAACGTCCGGCTTTCTTGCAGAACGGAGGGGCTCCGATGAGGTGTCCTCGACAACCTTTGCCTTGGGGTTGGGGCCTGAGCTGGCAAGAACATAGGTATCAAGAATAGTGGAAAGAGCCAGGGCAGCAGCGACACAGACGATAGGGGTCAGCGTCAGCATCAGACGAACCATGACACCAGCAAAGTAACTGGCAAGAACGGAGTAGATGATGACGAAGACGTGCTCGTCCTTGAGATCACGGAAGCACATGTAGACACCGGCTGGGAAAAGCCAGATCAAGAAGTTGAGATCGAAGAAGAATGCTGGCCAGGCGGTAGGCTGGTGCTCCGAGACCGATGCGATGATAGGGATATGAATCTTTGCGTAACCAGTATCCCACAGCGAGTAGAAGCGACCACTCCAGGGAGCAATGACTCCAGAGACAGTGAGGACAACAAGTCCCACAAATGCAGCGCCAAAAACGACAATGATCATGGTAGTCAGGAGTCTCTGGAAATGCTTTCCCGGAATGAAACCTCGCACGAAGTCGGCAAATGCCACCAGTTGAAGCAAGCCGAAGATACCGAGAGCAGACATGTGGTCACTGTTCCGGATGGGCAAGAATCCAACGAAAGGAATCTGCATGCTTGCCAAAGTGCCCAAAGCATACCAGGTGGTGTAACTGATATAGATACGCGAGCTGTACCTACCCATGCAAAGGAGAACGAAGACGTGTAGAGGAATCAAGTTGGTGATGAAAACATACCCTCCCCAAGCCGACACCATGTAGCCGTAGAACAGGGCAGTCAATGCACCCCACATGATAGAGCCAATTTTGACAGCCTTGATCCACAGGAAGAAGGTGAAGACAAGCAAGAAAATGGCGATAGCCTCGTTGTCATAGCTGCCAGCAACTGAACGAGAGATATAGCCAGGGACGATGCCCATGAAAGCAGCCGCAAGCAGACCTGCGGATGGCGACGTGGACATCTCACAAGTAAGGAAATACATCGCCAAAGCAGTCAAGCCCGAGAATCCAGGAGCAAGCAAGACACAAATGTTACGGATATCAACCGGGATGGTCAGGAATCGCAGAATGTGGTAGATCACGCCGCTGGTCACCATCAGACCGGGATATAGTGTACCACCCGTAACACGTCCCAGAGGATGCCAGGTTCCTGCAAATTTTGACGGTGGTCAGACTTGAGGATTGCTTGCCCAAGGGCTTCGCCATTGCATTCTCCTGGAACAATGGCAATTGTTGATGATGAAGCAACTTACTGTCGTCAAACCAATCCCAGAAGCTGTAAAAGCCATGTTGAACCAAGTATTTAGTTGCCCTGAAATTGAACCAAGGATCGACTAGTAGGCAAGACCATGTCAGCGTCAGTTCTAAGGCGATGGATTCGGGTATGATGTGCAATCGCGGGCTGCGGAGTGAGCTCAACGTGAATGTCGGGTAATACTTCAACAAGTCGGTCGGTATGGGAGCAACGTACATTCGTGAATGATACTTTCAAAGCCTGGAAATAGAGACAGTCAGCAACTCAATTGCATAGGTATGATCGGTGCCAATGGAGCTGGTGGTACATACGAATAACACTGAACAATCGACTGGACACAGCGGCAGCGGCAATAGTTCCCAGAATGATAATCCGCAGTAGACCGCGAGTGTTCCTGCCGGTGTTACCCTTTAGAAGGACATTGAGGGGTGATTCGGCCATAATGGCCAGGAAGTAAAGATCAAATTTCCAATTGGGAAAAGTGATAAGCGAGTGACTCTCGTCCTGCCCAGGCGGTTCGTTGAGAGCGAAGTTGAAAGGGAGAGAGACCGGGGGAGATGGAGTCGAGACTGGAGCTTCGCAAGGTGGTCTCTTCTGGGGTCTTGGCACGCCAGGTACGTAAGTCGCAAGCCGCCCGTTGCGGTTTTGGGGAAACCTCCGATTGTCCCCGCACTGCATCATTATCATTGCCAGCCAGCCAGCCAGCCAGCCATATTGACGATCCCGCTTCTACTCCCCTACACCACCGGTTTTGATCTGTTGCGAGGGTCGTAGTGTCACGGAATCGAGTTGCCAAGAATGAACAACCCACCACTTTCGCAAGAGCAGCTTGCTGCAGCGATTTCATCGGCCGCTACACCGTCCAAGCTCTTCGACATACTCTCCCCATATGAGGAAGAAGCATATCTCGTCTCCTTTCAAGATAAAAGACAGGCAGAGCTTCTGTGCCATTTCTATGCCGCTTACTTCTTGTCTCATTTACTGACAGATCAAATGTAAGCACTCTGATGTCGATCATCGATCACTTGCCAGAATTCTCACATATCTATCAGTTACGAAGCCCGCCTTTTGACGAAGCGAATGCCACAAGACCTTTTACAGACAGATGACTCCCTGCAAAACTGCGTGGCGTTACTGCGGGCAATCTGGCAGCACAAACATGAGTCCGTCTACACGATATTGAGAGAGTTGCCATGGCCTGATACACTGAAGCCGATAGTACAGAGTTATGATAGTAAGTGATGATACCTTACCAGAGCATGTGAAATAGTATCCTCTGAATCCTCTTGCTCACACGTTTGAAGCATATTTCCAGGAAAAGACGTTGCGAGAAGTAAGCAGGGCATATGAAACAATCAGACCTGCAACAGCTGCAAGCTACCTCGGTCTCGACCCCGCAGCTACAGAACGAGGTGACCCAGCCACAATAGGAAAGCTCTTGGCTCATGGATGGACCCAGGACGAACAAACCAGACTACTACACCCCAACACTGTTGTTGATGACACTCAGCAAGTTGACGAGCTGTACAACGATATAAGTGAAATAATGGCCTTGATTGGCAGTCGTCGTGGTTGAAACCCTGCGGATCACTAGGGGATCGATTCCTCACGAATGAGACCTTAACGATGATACCCTCTAATGAGAACTTAAGGCTGGAATATAAGAGACAAACGTGCAGAACAATGGTCTTCTAGCAAGCGTCCTATGAAGTACCATAAACGGCCTTTGAATGCCCCCCCCCCCCCCGACGCGGCACCACGCGCAAGGGCAGGAAGTCATGCAGGGGTACGCAAGCAGTACGGAAGGATCAGCAATGAAACCGAAGCATACAACTGAATCTCTTGCTCTTCTGGCCCAACTGTAGTGTACACATGCACGACAGCCCAGGGTATGTACAGATGCGGGGATGATGTCTATAGTGGAAAAAAGAAAATCATTCCTTTCGCTCGCAATGACACGACTCTGGGAAATTAGACCAACAAACAATAATACATAACCGGGATCATCCCGCAATCTCTCCTCGATACCCTGCCAGGTTCCGGTCGGGGGAGAGATAAAAGCAAATCATCTTCTCGCTGTATACTTCCAAACATATCTAGTTCTCACCGGCCTTCAGCTTCAGGAAAGCCTCAAGGTCAAACCGGCTGTCCTCGGGATCCGTAATCACTGCACATAGTCACCAGTTAGCGTCCATCGGAGGGGGCCATGCTGGCCATTTCAAGGGAGGAGCGAACGCGGATAAATCGGGTTGTGCTGAGAGCTTAGGGGAGAGCGAGAAGAGACATACCGCCGCTGTTCGTCTTAGAGTCCTTGGGCGCCGTCTTCTTCTTCCATTCGGCCTTGGCCTGCTCGATCAGGCGCTCCTGGCGGGCATATTCACGCTCGGCCTCTGCGTGCTTGGCGGCGGAGGTGAGGGAGGACTGGTGGTAGAAACCGTAGACGAGACCGGTAATCAGAGCCGAGTAGCGGAAAACCTACAAGGTAATTGAATAGTGTTAGTAGTTGAGGGCCATACTGGAGGGGTGGTATTGGGTTGGCTGGATTGGGCTGGATTGGGATTGGAGTATGTATCAGAACGGGCCCTGGCGGAGACTCACGTTGACACCCTGAGAAGCCATTTTGATTGAAGAGAGTCCCTGGGCCTCCGGAGCGGCAATCAAACAGAGTTAGTGAGAGAAGAAGGATCGAAGCCGGATTCCGAGCGACCGGTTTGGAGGGTATCGACAGTCAATGGCTGGCAATGCGGACTGGGGTACTGAAGCTTGTAAAGACGAAGTTCCTGTCGCGAGTTTTTCCGGACCGTCGGTCCTGCTGCGCTTATGTCATCCGACCACTAACTAAGTTAACCCGGACTTTGGCATTCTGGGATTCTGGGAGAAGCGGGACGGGGGAATTGGGAGAGAGGAGAGGAGGGAGGGTCGGGAACGGGACTACGGTAAGTTAAGAGGCCCCGTTCCACTCCCACCCCCCCCTCCCTCTCCAATTACTTAACACTCACCCCAAAAGTCCCGAAGTAAATAAACGAACAACACAACCAATCCACCTTATTCTGTACCCAAACGTGGTCTGAACGGATTTCCTCCGTTCTGATCTACTAGGTGCATATTAATCTCACATTATGTCCTCGTCAATACAACAGCGCAAGGCTGAAATCCTTGCTAAGAAAGCCAAACTCGCCGAACTCAAGCGCCAGAGGGAATTGCGCCAGAGGGAATTCTCTCAGGTTCGCGCTAATAGCGGTGACGCCTCTGAGGTAAGAGGCCCTTATGCAAATTGCGAAAATTTTCTTCTACTCGAGCTGGACGACTTAGCTCTATTATTTACCTAGGTCGTATCGCCAGTCCCCAGTCGTGCGGACAGCAGAGCTGAGCTCGACGACTTCATTTCCCGTCTTGTCGACCGCCCCGGATCAGCTTCGATCGGCCACGGTGCCGATGGCCTCTCGCGCAAAGGCAGCCGACCAAATTCCGTCCTCAGCGCCAGCCAGTTGAGCGGAGATAACGCCGAAGCTTTTAGCCCTCCTGCGCGAACCGTTTCCCATTCAATCGCAGTCCAAACCGTCGGGACCGAGCTCTTTGTCGCCGCCAGCGAACAGCAACCTGCCCCTGAGCCAAAACCCGAAATTGTCACCTACAGCAAAGCAGTGCAAACCGATGATCTGAAAGGACCTGATGGGATATCTGTCGACTCCGATGATGAAGGTGATACGAAACGCTCCGACAAGAAAGTCAGTGAGCTTGACGATGAAATTCTGAAGAAGCTTCGCAGAGAAATTGAGGAGGAACTGCAGACAGCTCAACGGAAATCCGAAAATGAAAATGGGTCTGAAATGGTGAAGACGCGGTATCCGCTGCGCACACTGGACGAAGATGAACTCAAAGCTGTTACCTCGTCGGACGACTTCTTAGACTTTGTTGAACGGTCGGCAAAAGTGATTGAGCGGGCATTGGATGAAGAATATGATGTTCTGGCAGATTACGAGCTTGGAGGTGTCGATGGCGAGCTGGATGATGACGACGAGCACGGCAAGAAGAGACGAGGTATCCGAGAGGTCTGTCAATTCTGGGATGAACGATGGAGCAAGAAACGTATGATCAGCGATTTGAGCTTCTCTCCAAAGGTCTGTCACGCGCGTCGATGCCGACTAATCGCAAGACTGATGAATTCTACAGTTCCCGGAACTCGTTCTGGCCGCGTATACCAAGAACCCCTCTGCGCCCCATGAGCCCGACGGCCTGGTCCAGATCTGGAACCAACACCTGCACTCCCGCCCAGAGTATGTTTTCCATTCAACCTCCGACATATTGGCCGCGAAGTTCTCTCCCTTCCATCCCAACCTGATCGTTGGTGGATCATATTCGGGCCAGGTTCTGCTGTGGGACACCCGTTCGTCGCGAGCAGGTGGAGGCGCGCCGGTTCAGAAGACGCCCCTGACCGGCTCCGGACATACCCACCCTGTTTACAGCATCTCAATAATCGGCACCCAGAATGCCCACAACATCCTCACAGCATCTACGGATGGGGTTGTCTGTGGATGGACTGTTGATATGCTCTCACAGCCTCAAGAGTATCTGGAGCTGTCCACACCTCCTCCGTCTAAAACCGAAGATCTTGCACCCACAACCATGTCATTCCCCCAATCCGACCCGACATTCTTCATTGTTGGCACCGAAGAAGGAGGAATCTACCCGTGCCACCGTTATGATCGAGCGGGGGCTAAGGCTGGTACCGACCATCGTTTGGCGTATCGTGGCCATGCTGCGCCGATCATGTCCACTGCGTTCCATCCGGCCCGCGGCCCGGTCGATCTGGGTGATCTATTGCTCAGCTCGAGTTTAGATTGGAGCGTGAAACTTTGGCGTGTGCGGCCCCCAGCCACGACCGCCCCGGCTACGTCGGCCATAGCCACGACTCAAGTCGTTTCTCCGATCCTTGAGATCAATCGCGAAGATGTGGTGTACGATGCCAAATGGTCCCCTCACCGCCCTGGAGTCTTTTCTCTCGTCGATGGTGCTGGCAACCTAGAGGTTTGGGATCTCTACACGGACACAGAGGTCCCGGCGGTGAAGACGACACCTTCTAGAGGCCGCGGTGGCATTCTTACGAGGAGTCTCAACAAGGTGGCTTGGGAAGAGCGAGAGGGTAGACGCATTGCCACGGGTGGTCTCGACGGCGTGGTGACGGTTTTCGAGGTCGGCAAAGGCCTTAGCGGTACTCCGGAAGATGTGCGCGCAGAGGAATGGACAGGGATGAAGAAGCTCGTTGGACAATGGGAGCAGAAGGACCGCATGAACTGATGTGTCTTGGCTCCATGTCCCGATGACCTCTATGCTTAGTGAAGCATGGGTCAGCGCCACTTCGATTGCTTCACCATGCTTTTTCACCCGGTCATCCCTTGCACTCAGCACTTAACCTCGCTATTTTTGATCTTCTTCATACCGATATGTACCAAATTTCGAGCGGCGCCTTGATTCACTTTCTCATATACCCCGCGGGCAGCTTGTTGTTGATGTATCTATGCATGTTTAGGGCAGGCGAAAAGAGAAGCATCTTTCTAGAGTGTATAATAGGTAGCGATTGCACTTCTCAATGCGATCAGTCTTAGGTCGAATGCGTTCATAGTCCTTCCTCAATAAGGAAATTCTTGGCCCACCAGCTTCTCGCTCAGTTTCCAAAGTCTCTCAGCCTCGAAGCTGCTGGTGGCCCATGGCTTGACCGTATCCACCAAGGGGTCAGCCACATGGCAATCAATCAGATACGCCCCATTGACAGCTGCCATTTCGTTAGCAATCATGTGAGCACGGAACAGAGATCGATTGCCTACCCTTCAAACTCGGATCAAAGGCGGCATAGACATGAGTCGCGGCGCCCCTCTCGAGATTCTTCGCGTCGAATTCGTCCTTCCAACCTTCCCGATTACCAAGTGACCGGTCCACAGTTTCTATACACAAGGCAACCCATTAGCCGAGATGAAATCTTTTCCCACATCCTCAATGACACGAACGATGAAAAAGAGAGAGAGGGGGGAGAGAACAAATGATCCTGCAACGTACGAAGCTCTTTCATCCCAACACTCCAATCCACATCCCTGTCCAGATTGGTAAAGATGACCCCGGGATGCAAACTGAACGCCTGTAAGTTACACTTCAACCCCAGCTTCTGCGCCAGCGAGCGCGCAAACAACATGTTGGCTGTTTTGCTTTGCCCGTAGGCACGCCAGCGATCATAGCTTTTCCCTTCCTACGTCTCCCAATTGTGTCAGCTTGACTTTTTGTTCTCTCTGTTTCACAGCTGGGGTCTTTTGTTTGCGGAACTCTTCCCGATGGGTCGAAACAGCAGGGACGGCTTACATCGAAATTCCAATCATCGAACCGCACAGGATTCAACCGATGACCGTCGCTGCTCACGACGACCACGCGAGGGCTCGACGCGGCCACGATCTTCGGCATGATCAGGTTGGTGAACAGAAACGGGCCGAGGTGGTTGGTCGCCCAGTGGGCCTCGAAGCCCTCGGCGGAGAGGCGGTAGTCCGGCACGCCCATGATGCCCGCGTTGTTGACCACGACGTCGATGGCGGGGAGGTCGTCCCATCCGTTGACCTCGGCGGCGGCGGCGCGGACGCTGTCGAGGGAGGATAGGTCGATCTGTAGGGTGCGGATCTGCGTGGTTGGATGGCTGGTGCTGGTGCTGGTGCTGGCTCGGAGCGCCGCGGCGGTTTGGGCGAGTTGATTGGGATTACGGGCGGCAAGGATGAGGCAGGCAGGTTGGGCTTGGGCGAGGGACTGCACGAAGAAGCCGCCGAGGGAGTTGGGGGAGACCCCCGTTGTGAGGATGATTTTGCCTTTGATGAGGGAGGCGTAGTCTCTTAGGAGGTCGGCGGTGGTGGTCTGGGTGGTGTATGGCGTTGGCATGTTGGCTTTTGTTGTTTGGCGGTGGGGGTGAGGTGGCAAGGTTTAAGAGCAACTCAGACTGTGCATGATTGCCAGACATGAAGCCATTTATGTGGATGGATGAGAGTTGGAATGGGTAATCACGGCGTTAACAAATTATTTCCCTATGTCCGGGGGGGTTTCCTGCTAGTATCGTACGTTAAGCAGCGCTCTCAGATCATCCTTTCCATCGTGTAACTCTTGGCATCTGACCATTGAGAAGCTTGGTTGACCTCTGTCTGTTCTCGGTGCATATTGCATGTAATCTTCTTGTAGCTACGTATACAGTATCATGATACGCCGTTGCGATGGCTATGTGAAAGGTGTACACCTCATGCACCTTGGTCGCTAGAGTTGCGTCACTCTTCACGAATACCCTCGCCTCCTCATTTTCAAAGCGAATTACCATTGGCTCACGTAAGCCCAGGAACTGATAACTCAACTGTATTATTGCCCCAAAGCGACAAGTCTAATGCTACACTGCATTAATATAGTTATCATTTCTGAATTCGCTAATCAACATTTGATGACATCCCGAAGTGGGCCCAGGGCACGTGCGCTTGGCCCGAAATGGTAAGGTGCCCGTTCTCGGAGAGGATCGACCGGCTGATATCATGGATGATATATCAAATGATCAATGATCATTGTTTTGCTTATCCGTTTCCACCCTGCACTCAAATATGCGCCGGTATATCCACGCTTATATCAAGCACTAGAGCTAGTCAGAACAACTGTCAATTGAACTCACCTCCAGGACTGGGCTGAGCCGACATACGAGTCTGACGAAGCATCCCCTCGGTGTGGATACGAGCCGAGATCCCAACCCAACCCAATCCAATCATTAGTCCTGGGAGATTCTCTGTAAAAAACCATGAATAGCTCTCAACCCTCGGCCATGAAACTAAAGGAACAGCGCCAGGATGAAGTACCAACAGGTCGAGGCTCTCGAAAACAACGAGGGAAAGCTCCCTTCATAAGCATGGGAGACCGAAAAATAGATGCCAGGAAGACAAATGTTGATGATGGAGATAGGAGTTTCTATTTCGATCCAAATCGATGGATTGACGGCGTGATCTATGTAATTGTGAGTCAGGGTCTCTCATACCACAGGTTGGAATGACCTACACGTCGGGTTCTTCGCTAAGTGCGGACTGACTTGAACAATTGTGATCAGACGCCCTATGGAGACCGCAACCACATTGACAAGTAAGTGAGTGTCAAGCTAGCTCACCGGGCTCTACTTAAAGGTATCCGCAAGTGAAAACTCCAGCTAGAAGAAGCCTCCGCATGAGCCTCGGGTGCAGCTTCCAGAGCATGGGCAAGGGCAAGAGTAGGACGAGGATATCGAGAATGAGATCCGGCGTTCCAAAGCCTAGCCACAAGCTCCTTGGACCTATGCAGGTGCCCGGCAGATCTGGCATCCAGTTTTTCGTGATCGGAGAACATGTGAGAAAGATGACGAGGATAGTACTGATCGACCATGCCATGCGATATCCAATCCATGCACTATCCAGAGCGCATATCGGAAGCGAGAGGGACCTTGGCTGAGATCCCTTCCGTAGTAGAGCAGAGCGGACGCTCGTGCTATTGAGGTCGCCCAAAGTACTAAAAAGTATACCACCCATAACAGCTTCAGAAAAGAGACAAGGTCTGGAGACACTGTTTTAACCTGTCTCCCTAGTACAAGCCGGATCATTCTCAGACTGATGCCGCAAACAGCAATGCTCAACAACTTCCAGAGCATGATTGGTCCATGCCAATGCTGAGAGGGGACCCGCGGCTAACCGCAGCGGCGAGAGCGGTCCAATCATCCCACCAGAACCCAGAGCGGGTGTTGGACCGAGGAGGTTTCGGCAACAAGGCTCTCGACCAGAACCTAAGGACAACAGCAACTGATGGGACATTGATCAAGGTGATAGTGAAGGCCCTAATCTGCGGGCCTCGAGCATCAGAGGGCTGAGAGTATGGACTCGGAGACATTACCGAAGGAAGGCAAAGGCTAAGTCACTGGCGGATTGAGGTTTAGTAGAACAATTTGGCCGGTCCGTAAGCGCCCAGTATGCATTTAAAGAGATTTGCAGCATTATTAAGGTGCTTGAGAGTTCTTGCTTCAGCTCTAGAAGCTATAATAGGATCCCTTCAATATGACAATAGGCAGAGAGGATTTTTTTTTTCGCAAAGCATACTCGAAGTAATCGTCATATGACGTGAATCAGCCTCGGATTAGAATTATCGAAGCCTGGAACCAGCCATTCCGTAATTGCTTCCATGATGTTTCAACGCTACCCTGTGTAATGTAAGCAGCGACCACTTGTCGTCGAGAAAATCAATGCCATTGAGCCTGATCACCAGTAACTGCGGAATCCCATGGAAACTTAATAAGGATGGATAGCCAACAACAGCAGAAGTAACCGGAGAGCTCAGTAAGTTGCATGGTGACAGATATACTAGGTCGATTCTGTGACTCGCAGCGACTGGCCAAGACTCGACACCACTGGAAGTTGCCGGTGTTGTTGGAAGAAAAGTGCCAGAAGGAGTAAGAGTCGGCAGGCTGAGAACCTCCAAGACAGGTAAGTCATCCCGACCACTGCAACTGGCTCGGGAACCGTATTTACATCGCAATCTTCGCAGCTCTTGAAGGTCGAAGACACATCCGGTGTCTATTCCAAGTTTATTAGGCGAAGCCGCCCCGAGTGCCGGGACGACTGTGACATGACAAACTCGGAGGAAGAATAATCAGTCCATTTAAGTAGCTCAGCAATCAGAACTTAGGTGCTGCATTCGGCCTTGACTACCGAAGTAGTTTTCCTTGACGGTTGACAGGAATTGGGCGGCAAACCATACGCTTGATGAAGTCTACCCATGGTTCGACAGTCCGCCGGGCTGATCTCGAAATTATGTAATGGTTCTCGCAACTTCTTGAAGAAATTATGGCTATCACCACTCTTTCTACCTGATAGTCAACAATGGATGCCGTTTTGTTGCTGTTCAATGGCTTAAGACATACGCCGCAAAGTCTGCTGCCGGGCTGCTCCTCTCTTTTCATCTGGAACTGACGCCATATACACATCGGTTGTCCTCATCGATGTAGGCCAGGTGGTGAAAAGGCGACATAGCAGTGGAAGAATGTCTCAGCGGTCGCCTAATGTTCCCTACAATGGTGGATCCCTGCTGGGCGTAGCCATTGCTATGGCAATACTGCAGATCATTGCAGTGATTGCTCGCTTCTATACTCGATACAGCCAGAGACTCGCCTACGCGCTTGATGATTTTCTGATTGTTATCGCCTTGGTAAGGCAGCTAGCCAGCAGTCCGTGTCTCAATTGCTGATAAGCCTTCAGATTGCTAGCCTGGGACAGTCGGCTCTGTACGTGGTTTGTATGTGACGACCTCAGTTATCACCCATAAGCAACAACTGACCCTTGCTATAGTGGTCAAAGTAGCGGGGGTAGGATATCATATGAGCTTTGTGGAGGAGACTCCAGAGAAGTTGGTTGCTCTCGAAAAGGTACTAACAAGAAGGTCTCGGGGCTAAGATACTGATGACTGATCAATTGACGCACAGGGTCTATACGCCAATGAGATTATAGATTTCCCTTTTGTCATAACTCCAGCCAAGATTTCCATTCTGATATTTTACATTCGCATCTTTAGCACGCGAAACTTCAAAGTGGCCGCGTATATCATTGGAGCGCTCGTACTCGGACACGGTATCGGGGTCTTGCTTGCAGCTATATTTCAATGCTGGCCAATCGATTACACATGGAACAAGACTACAGGTGTCGAAGGCGGCTCATGTTTCAATCAACAAGCCTTCTACCGATACGTTTCGCCGCCGAACATTTTGACGGATGTCCTCTTATTGATATTACCACTGCCATATGTTTGGAGACTCCATACTACCCGTGGTCACAAGCTGGCATTGACGGGAGTTTTTCTCCTGGGAGGATTGTAAGCCTATTTCCCGAGTCAGCGCATATCATAGGTATGCCATATGTATGCATCGTTGATTGACCGTGCAACAGGGGAACGGTAGCCAGCATTCTGCGCATGACAAACTTCTTCGAAGAAAGAGCGACGGTTGATCCTACATGTATGTCTTCCACAGAGGCTTGATTGAACCTTACATACTGACTCTACTGCATTCGTATAGGGACATCGACCGATCTTGGAATCTGGACTATTCTTGAAGGAGCCCTCATCATCATAGCCGCCTGCTTGCCCCCCACTTGGCCTTTGATAATCCGATTCCTACCCCGGAAATTCTTTAGCAAAAAGTCAGTCGGAACTCGTGCTTCTGAGAGTGATACGAGCAGACGTGTCATGGTTGAATGCGAGGACGAATCTTCCCGTAAAGGGGGTAGCGCTCGCCGCCACGGCCAGAGCCTGTCCACCCTGGAATGTCAACCCAGGCTATCTCCTGGGGTTTCAACTCGACCTTCGGATAGATCTGCATTATGGTCCATTCCGAGTGAGGTTTGATATACACCCCTTAAAGAGGCAGCCGCTGAGACTCGGGCAGGACCATCATATGAGTGAATACGGAGTACCAGATCTCCAAGGGCCTTTTGGGCCAGCTCAGTGTGAAGCCTATGCTCTACTTCGATTGGTCCGAGATCTATATGCTAATATGTATACCGGAATCCACGCTGAAACGTTGACAACGTTAGTGAGTTTTGGCATCAGTCGCACCAGGCAGACGTACCATATTCTGAAGAACCTTTCCTTTCTTCTGCTGTCCATTCAGCAAGTAGAATGATAGCGTGAAAACGCCCACTAGAACAATCATGAGGACATGAGAGCTGATGGCACAGGGAAGAGATGTTGTCAGTGTTTTCGGCCCCAGCCAAAGGATTTGATTGAGCCCGACATACCCAATAGATACCCAAACGGCGGTTTGATAGCGTGGTGCTTCCTGCTGTCGCACTATATAACTGCCCGCCACACCACCCAGACCATTACACGCCGATACAGCGGCTGCTGTGGAGGCGCGATTCCACTGACCCACGACGTTGTTGGCCATGAATGCGTTCAGAGCCGCCCAGTTGGAGACATATGCCCCGGTAGCGAGGAAAGTCCCGATATACCGCACAGTGACTTGCGTCGAGGACGGTAGACCAAACATAAGAAATCCCGCTATCAGGCAGAGGGCGTTGAAGGTGATGAGCGGGCCCCGGATGCGATAAGAATCGCCCACGAACGACGTGAAAAGGACCGGAAATACGGACCAATAGTAGGGCTACCAAGGTATAGGATTAAGGTTAGGACGACGTGAACTACATTTTCGGAAGCACGATCCGTGGGAAACCCCTATCTGACCAACTCCGAAATAAAGGAACAAACTAACGTACCGGTGTTGAGAGAAGAATAGAATCATTGCTCGAAAAGCCCATACCTGATTCGAGAATGATAGGCAGAAAGTAGTTCAGCGCCGTTGAAACAAGATTCAATAAGAGGTACATGCAGGCAAAGCCATACAGCTTCAAATCGGCGAAAGGGGCCAAAGCCTTGCTCCACGAGAAAGCATCAGGCATTATGTCATCACGGTCAGCTCGAATCCGCTGTTGCTCCTCTATCAGTTATTGCTGTACCTGCTGCTGTTGTTGCTGTTGCTTCTTACCTGTGCAGCCACACGTGCCTCTGCTTCGCTCAAGAAGTGAAAGCTCCGGTGAGCGTTCTCCGGGAAATCGACCATCCACCAGTATGTGAGCATCCCAATGACGCAAGTGATCAAGCCCTGAACAAGGTACATCCAGCGCCAGCCCTGCATGCCTGATTTCCCATCCAGCAGGTTCAGACCATAGTTCACGATATACCCTGTCGCGAGCCCGATCACCTCACCCGACTGGAGAACTGCGAACCGGACCTGCTGTTCTCGGCGTGGGTACCAAGTGCTGATGAGATAAGTCAAGCCTGGATAGATCCCCGACATGGCCATTCCTAGCAACACTCGCAGCGCAATCATCTGTCGCCAAGTATGAATAAAGGCGGTACATAACGTGATCAGGCCGAAGATGAAGGTAATCGCGGCGAACCAGACTCTGGGACCAACCCAACGAACTGCGAGAGTGGACGGCAATTGGCAGACAATACTCGCAACCGTGAATATGAAAATCGAGACCGAGTAGCGGTTTCCATGCAGATCCAAATCGCTGGGCATACTAGTCACCGATGCCGACGAGAGAATGCCCGAGTCGAGTAAGTTGAGACTGCACAGAATGCCGGCAATGCTACACAGACGCAAGTCTGTCTTCCATCGTACTCGCTTCTCTAACAGTTTCAACTCTTCAGGGTCCTGCTCGGTAAGGTAGAATGCGTTTTGCGGGGTCGGCTTCTCATCGAGCGGTGACACCGGGTCAGCGTGCCTTTCGATCACGGCGCCATCGGCGCTTTTCGAGGCCATAATCCAATTGGTGCCTGGTCGTATACGCAGCGATAAGAAGGGGTAAGCTGAATTCCGAGAGCAATTGCAATGGATGACGGACGATTGAGTGCGGCGACATTATTCTAAAAGCGGGGAGGCACTGGAAGAAACTAATGGAATCCGGTGGCAATGAACCCGCTTATCTATTGCTGAAGATTTTCGATAGCTCGTCCAATTCCTAATTCTTGCATATATTAGCAATCAATCATTGCCCGCCCAGGTCCCAATCCTTAGCTCATGAGATCCCTGCTTGGCTTACTCATGAATTCAGGGCGAGACCCCGGGAATCACACTGATCCAGCTGCGCTTCTCGTGCGATCGTCCTGTGCAGAGGAAAAATCACCTAGGCTTATGCTGTCGATTGATTTGCTGAGGCTTTGAAACTGGATGGCGGAATAGAGAGGGCCACGCACTTCCGGATCGCCACGCACTTCTACTCATAGAATGTTATGTATGTATTTCCGGAACGGCTGCTGATTTCTCTGGAAAGCTTATTGATTGAATTGCTATTTTTTTTACACTATAGAGTCCCTAAGAAAGGTATTTACAAGTAACATATTTTAACTATTTTGATGGCGTGAAGAAGTGCTTTAGAGAGCCTTACTTCACTTGTGTACTGTATGTACAGTATTTCCTCCGAAAGATGCCTGGTAAAAAAGTCTTGTTGATAGATTTATTTATATACTTGGTTGTAGGTTACAGGTGCTTAACAAAATGTCTATATACTTAATTCTTCTGAAGATTAATCTAGTTCATAGTATATTACTGTAAAGAAACTTATACTTAGTCCATACCTTACGACCTTTTTTTTGTCTCAGAGTTTTATATCCAGTTAGGGTGTAAAAGTTCTAGTAGTAAAAGCAGCCGTTCCGAAATCGCGTGCCCCTCCCTGGAGTCTACCACAGACTAGAATCAAGTCCTTCGGAAGGACTCCGAAGGAGATGGACGAGGGCCTGCCTAGCGGGTGACTCCTGATGACCCAAAGGCGTTGTCGAAGGGAACTCAGCGGCAGGGACCGTGATGTAACGTACTGACACCTTCCTAAGCACCGTTATAAGGAGTCTCAGGCCTGTTTAAGCACCTGCTCAACGGCCTTTCCATACATCTTTTCCTATAGCTGCCGGAGGGCCTTTCTCTACACTCAAGCACTCTTACACACACACACACACAACACACACACACACACACACACACACACACACACACACACACACACACACACATTGAAGCAGGTATGTAACTATTGAAGATTCGGACCAGGGGGGGGGCCTTCCTAAAGCAACAATGATGAAAAAGCTTATCTAAAGTAAGAAATCTGGCACATGATCAAATACCCATGAATAACTACTTGAAGGAGCGTCAGTCTAGCTCGCTCTCAACATCAGGGAATGAATGTATTGTCTTTCATCTACTGAGTAATTGGGAGTTGCTTACCACCTACTGAACCCCCACCCACTCTTATCGCACGGCATTATGAGATGATGAATTGACGGAGTAATTAGCCGTCAAACCTAACTCCGAGAACCGACTCTGGATCTCAATGTTTCCATTTCTCCGCTCCTCAATGGCTCGCCGGAGCTCCATCTACTGCTGCTTTCCCCGCGCTGATTGCGGCGGGGACCCACGTTACCGCACCGGACGAAAGGGAGTTAAGTGGGTTAGTTGAAAACTACTGTACTAACTGTACTCCCTTCGTACGTACTGTACCTTTCGATTCCTATCCTTCTGACTCTGGGATCGTATCTATCTGTTCGCGACTTCGTTCAGTCTGATCGACCGTCATTTGGCGCCCCCCACCCACCCACCCTCCTCCACTTCTTCTGTTCTCTTCGCCCTCATAATCATGGCTCTTCTTCCATAACCTCCTCTTCTTCTTCCTCTTCCCTTCCTCTCTTCCTTTAACACCCCTTATCGTTTAGGTACAGACATCATCTCTTTCCCGCCCCCGCGCTCTCCAACCCAATTGCGATTTTACGCAGTACACCGCCGCAGCTCGCAAGCTCAGTCTTTAACTACATATCACTCATTTCGCCATCTTCCCTCTAGACCCCCCCAAACCGATCATCATGGTCGAGCTAATCCCTTCTCTTGAACCTCGCATGCTCCTTCCGCCATTGCTGGCCTGTCTACCCACGGCTTTTGTCTCGTCGCAACCCCCTCCTGCGCTGCTACCACTCCTGTCTCCGATTATTCGCCAGCGTGTGAAGATCTTCACTACCGTCTCCGCCTCACCCACTGACTCATGGCTTCGGTTGCTCTGCTGGGATTCTGCATCGGCTGAGCGTCTGCAATCTTTGGTGGATGGTGCTAGCTTCGAGCCCCACCCCGTTTCCGGAGAGATTGACCTCCCAGACGACATTCCCGTGCGGTACAAGAGACTGGACGAGGAGACTCTACAGTCGCAAATTCAGCTACCTGAGTATAGCTTGAAAGTCATATACGTCTGGTGTCCTGACGATGAAGAAGGCGGAGGGCCTGCATGGCGGGTAGCGGAAGTCTTGCCACAGGAGAGCAGTGTTGGGGAGGACGGA